CCCCCCCCCCCCCCCCTTTCCTTCTCTAGCTACTGACCTGCTTCCTCCTTCCCTCCTTTTTTGACCAGTCCAGCGTGGAATCCCATAAGACAGTTGAATGTTGGGTGATTACATGTTGGCTACGTCTACTTGGCTGAATGCGGCGCGAGCACATGGACCGATGTGTTACTCATATAATCGCTGCCTGTTGCTCATTACTTTGCGCCACGCTAGGCTGAGTCACCGCCTGCAAGAAATGTGACGCGCACAGGAACACTAGAGTGCCTGGCAAGCGAGTTCATGAGCTGTCTTGGCTGAAAGTCGATTTCGTCTGTATCCCAGTCGAGTGCTTGCAACATCCAGACTCGCGTCAACCAGGATGTGTCACGATGTCAACGTCATTACAAATTCGGAAATTCATATCACAGACGGAATTGAGAATTAGCGAGTCGCTGGCCTGAACAGATAGCGACATGCAATACAGCACAGTCAGAAATGGCCCCCTGCATACACGCATCTCCCCACTCGATATGGTTCAGCACGGCGGCAAATCCTTCTGGCAAGCGAGCCAACGGTCCGCGGCAAAGACGGAAGCTCGTGTCTGGCCATGTTGCACGAGCCTTTACGCGGGGTCCGATCATCTCTGGGATCCTTTGGCCGATCCGAGGTCTCGAGCTGATAATGTCAGACGCCGTGTACCCCCAACCTGGAGACAATGCCCAGAGGGACACTCCTGTCGGCGGCTTGACAGACCGAAATGGGACCCGGCTCGGAGATGATCTGGACGGCAGCTATTGGTGGATAAAGTCAGCTCAGTGTAATCATGCTGCTATTTCCTACACGCGCGCCCACAGCTGATATTTGACGCGAGCGGCACAGTTGCGGACACTGAGCAAACAACCCAAGGCCCAGATGCGCGGATGCACTCTATCAAGCCGTTTCCCGCTTGAGTCCCCAAAAAGTGCGACCATGCCAAAACAACTCGTGATGCGCGCCCACGGTCTTGACCGAGCTGCGAATAGGCAGCAAAACCCATTCCCAAAAGCCAGTAGACGCTCGTGGTGACGTACGGGCTGGTGTTTGATCTGTTGATGTTGAGGCGGCAACGCGGCCCTCAAGAAGCGCTGGCCAAAAACAGCCCACAAGCACTAGGCCAAAGCGCCAGCCAGCAAAAATTGACCTGCGCTCCACTCAAACGCCGCCACACACCCACGCCGCCGACGTGCGTTTCTGCCCCCTGGACTCCGCCCTACGCACCTAGCCGCCCGCCCAAACTGCAAAGCCCCAACTGATAATCTGCCCAACCAGCAGAACAGGCCGCGACCATCCCGCAGGGGGGCATCTCCATCCCAAGGGGACGGCCCAGAGAGATCAGGAATGGCAGGCTCGATCCTTGTCTCGCGCAATCACCGGCAGATGATTCAGTCAGATTGAATCTCGCTGTCCAGGATCGGCACTGTCGGCTGGCCTCTCCCTCCTCCTTGGACGAGAAGGGAGTCCACCCAGATGGCGCCCCCGAGCACAGGCCAGGCCGAGACAAGCGCTCGTTCCCAACGACCCCCCAAACGCCTGTCTAAAAGATGGCGGCTTCCCTGCTCTTAGTCAAGGGCGATGACCCCGCCCTCGGGGGCCATGATACACCACTGCCATCCTGGTGTGCAACACACTCTCGCTGCCCACACGGCTCCGCTGCGGGCTGCGGGCTGCGGGCTGCGGGTGGACAAGTACATTGCATTTTCAGCTTGTTCCTGCATGCACGGCCCGACGCAGGCTGTCAGCTCGTTGGCTCCCACCGCCGAGAGGTGAGAGGGAGGGAGGGATGCATGGTCTCCATTTCTGGCCCTTTTCTCCTTGTGCCGGTGTGGCGTAGCCAGACGCGCACGTCCAGATCGACGATAAGGGGTGGTTGGGCTGTTTTTCTGGCCCGGGCCACCTCACCACATATGATCCCATGGACAGAAATCTGGGCACAGCGGCCGAGTGGCGAGATGCCGTCCATCCTTTTCTCAGCGGGGACCTGCTCCTGGCTTTCTCGCCCTTTCCTATATGAAGAGGCCCGGAGCCCCAGAGCCCCAACGCGGCCACCCTACACGCTTGTGACGACGGTCTCTTGTATCTCCCTGTTTGCCAGCCGCCGCCTCGTTGGGTCACGCCCCCATCCCCAACACCACCCCGTGCCAAGCCCAAGGGCGCCCTTTGACAGCTCCAAGGGCAGTCTTGAAGACGTTGGCCATGTTATAACAACCCCTCAAGGAATGCCAGGTCCCCTGCTGCTTGGCCGAGAAACGACAAGTTGTCCTGGGTGTCGTGCTTGGTGAAACCAGCACCCCTGACCGTCTACGCTTCTCCTCCTCCACCATACACATCCCCATGGCGACCACTCAGCAGGCCCAGGGGCAGCGTGCCCACGTCGCCCGGCATGTTCGGAGTTTCCCCGTCGACGGGGTCGCACCGCCGCGGCCTGTGAGGCATGCAGGCCGGGTCGACGACGGCCGCCGACACACCCGAAACCACGTGTCCGCCGACAATCTCTACCACCCGGATGTACGCAGGCCCAGTCGTAGCGACTTAAACCGCCGCACATCTACCCACAAGGCTCTCCCGCCGATTCCGGGCGAGCGCACCGCGGCGCCGGGCCCCTCCATCCCCTCCCGCTACGCGAGGGCCAGAGCGGCATCGACGCCCTCGTGGCCCCTGGGACCCGACAGCAGGAGAGCCGAGAGCCGGCCCGTCTTAAGGGAAAACACACACGTGCACTCCCGCACGAGGCGGAGGGGCTCACTGGCTGCTCCTTCGCCCTCAGTGGCCAGGCCCCCTATCGACCGTCGCGACTTTGAATCTAGCCCTCGACACGAGCGCCAGGCACCCCTGATTGTCGTTACATCACTCTCTGCTGCTACTGCCTCTGCTGCTACCGCCTCGGTCGCCTCTCCCGTGGCCATTTCGACCGCAGCCCCCTCCACCATCTCCGTCACACCGACCCCAACCACCGCCACCACCGCCGCCACTAGTCTACAGCCGACCTCAACCACAATAACCACCGCCCCCAGCTCTGCCGCAACAGCCTCCCCGCCCGCCTCACCAACCAAGTATCCGTCCGGACGCAGCGCCGGGCATAAGCAAACGCCCAGCTTCCAAACCCGCTACATGCACATGCTGCTCGCCCTCGACAAGATCCCGCGCCTGCATAACATCCTCGCGTCCGTCTTCACCTGGACCCTGCTTGCCGGCTTTGTCGTCTTCCCGGGTGCCTTCACCACGTCCCCGGGCGCCCCTCCCACTACGGCGCCCAGCCTTCTTCCCCTCGCCGTCGCGCTGACCTCGCTCGGCGCCCTTGGCCTCGCCTGGCTTGGCGTCCGCTGGCGCCGCAACTACGTCTGGCTCCTCAACCGCGTCTACATGCCCGGTGCGCTGAGCGGCTTCGTGGGCGGGCTCGCCACCGTGACGTCGGTCTACGCCCACGCCGCCGGCTTCTGGAGCCCGCCCGCCATGGCCGCCGCCGCCGTCGAGGCGGCTCTGTGCCTGCTTTGCGGCGGGCTGTTTATCGTCTACAACAACCTTCTCCTGGGCCGCGTCAAGCGGGACCACGACTCCAGCGGCGACGAGAAGCCTCGTGGGCGTGGCAGCGCGAGCGGTGAGGGCGAGGGGCGGCCGGAAAGGAGGGGGGTCCTCATGCGGATGTGGCGCTTCTCCCAGTCGCCTCCCCTTGCGCCTGGAAGTATTGTGTAGGATTTGAGATGTTGCATGTTTGTATGACCTGTATGCTTTCCCTAATTACTTGTCGCTTATTTTTTGTCTATCAGCCACTCTTTTCTTTCCTTGTCTCATGACCAAATACCCAGGACTTACTTTCTTTGTATATACGATTCCTTCCACTTCTCCAAGCTCAATCCACACAGCCCGCTTGCCGTCTATCGTTTGCACGCTTAACGTATGAGAACTCAAGGAAGACATGTGGATACGGGGACAGTCTGGCTCGCCAACAGACACGCACTCACCCATGGAAAGACATGATTGGAAACCTTGCCGCCAGGCGATAGCGTTGGCGGCGGGGCATCCGGGATCTGCCCGCTTGTCAAACTCCCCGCTTTCCCCGCCAACATCCATGATATGAACAGCTGCCCACCAAGGGAACCCCTGTTGTGACGTTCACATTGGCTCGTACAACATCTTTTCTTGCGAAAACCTCAAACCCTCAGCCATGCTTTGTGCCGTATGCGTCGAGGCTCTTGCTTTTCGCCGTGGCTGGAAAACAAGAGCATACAAGGTGTGGCAAAAGGAGCCAGACAATGAGACAGCAAGCGAGCTCAGCAGTAGTGAAGATGGTGAGGAGGACGAACCGGTCGAGATGTTTCTGGGCCACCAACTCGCCCATCAAGAGCAGGGAAAGATAGGTCCCAATCCGATTCCATTGGATGCACGCCCGCACGGGCCATAAGCCTCCCAATTCATCACTTCCGTCACTAAGGCCCATGGGCCGTGACAGGGACCGCGCGGGGCTGTCAACTGCCGAGGAAGCCGGCTTGTCCGAAATCTATAAGAATTGGATGAGGGGCTCTCGTTATATCGCTCTTTCCTCACTGAATTACCAAGACCCCTCCTACAGCTTTCCCTACATCATCGAGTATCGTGACTTCTTCCTTCAACCGTTGTCGGAAGCAGTTTCCCTCCCAACGTCATTGCGAACGACTGCAGCATCAACAAAGCAAACACGTCACCATGTCACAGCTCGAGGACCATTCCCTACGCCCGTATCCTTCGCCCGGGCGACAGGTCGAGGCACCAGGCGTAGCTGAAGAGACTGACTCACCGCAACGAGAGTCGCGCCGGAGGCGGGTCTGCGTGCTCGTCGGATGCTCCTTGTTGCAGCTCCCTCTCTGGGGCTTCTCGATGAGTTACGGGGTGTTCCAGGAGTACTACTATGCGAATTGGACCTTGGACGGAGCGCGTGAACAGACGGGTATCATTGGCACAACTTCCAACGGCGTCATGTACCTTTCCATGCCGCTTCTCTTCGCTCTCTTCGCCAAGCGGTGGGCCAAGTGGAGACAGACGGCAGCCGTCCTCGGAGCCATTGTCACTTGCCTCAGCTTCCTTTTGTCGTCCTTTAGTACCAACGTCTGGCATTTGATCGCCACCCAGGGAGTTCTTGCAGCCATGGGCAGCGCTCTCACGTACAGCCCGACTACGCTTTCCCTCGGCGAGTGGTTCGGAACCAACAACAGGGCCGTTGCCTATGGCATCGTCCTGTCGTGCAAGAACGTCGTCGGCTCCGTCTGCCCCTTCATCGTGCGAGCCCTGCTCGATCGCTATGGCTTTCGCACCGCGCTGAGGCTGTGGGCCGCCATCGTCGCTGCCACCAGCCTGGCCATCCTGCTGCTTTCGGCCCCTCCGTCCGGCTCCTCTTCGACCGCGTCGCACCCGAGGAAGATCCCATGGCAGTTTCTCACCCACCGAACCTTTTACGTCCACGGCGTTGCCATCGTGCTTCAGAGCGCAGGATACGCCATCCCGCAGACCTACCTCAACACGTACGCGCACGAAGTCTCCCTGCTGTCACAGGCGTCTGCCACGCTTTTGTTGACCCTTTTCAACGTCCCGGGTATTGCCTCGTCCTCCTTCTTCGGCTACCTAAGCGATAACCGCCATCTTCGGCTTTCGGCCGCCACGGTGACCTCCATATCCGCCGTAAGCTCTGCCTTGTCCGCTTTCCTGTTCTGGGGGTTGGCTTCTAAAGGCAGCATGGCCCTGCTGGTCCTATTCTCCGTGACTTTTGGCTTCTTCGCTGGTGGGTACAGCGCCACCTGGGGAGGCGTCCTCAACGAGATGGAGCGAGAAGCGGCCGAGAGAAACGAGGCTATCGACACGGGTGTGCTTTACGGTCTGCTGAACGGCGCAAGAGGCATCGGCTATCTGAGCGGTGGACTTGCCGGCGTGCCGCTCTTGAAAGCTGGCCGAGGCGCCATCGGATCCTTTGGCTATGGTACGTCTTACGGCCCTCTCATCCTCTTCACGGGGCTCTCTTCTATTTTTGGAGGATGGGGACTATTGTGGAAGTGGCTGCATCTGCTTTGAAAACCCTGGGCAGTTTTTTGCCGCACCTCGCGCACTGAAGTGAGTGCAGGTTGACTCCAGTGACGGAAAGGACACCTGGGCAAGGCTGCGGCGGGAGGACTGCACGGCACCTGGGCACTCCCATCATGGAGGTTATTCCCGCCTTGTCCAGGTTGGAGTGGGGTGTGGTTAAGCATATCTTTTCATACATACAAGCCTGGCCCAATTGCCGGTAGATCATCGTACTTCAGCTGTGTACCAAGTTCCGGGCTTTCCGCACCACACGGCTATGCTTCTCCTAGCTGTTTAACTTCCTCAGGAAGCGGTTCCCGAGTGTCGGGTGACTCCTCCGTGAACCATGTATCCGCGAGAAGCTCTTCCGCCGCCGGCCTGTTACGTGGGTCCAGTTTCAGGATCTTCAAAATGAACTCTTTGTCGGCCGGGGCTATTTCTTTCGTGGTCACCCTAATGATTGGCTTCGCAGGAGGTCCTTGGCCGTTAATAACATTAACAACAAGCGACACCCCCGAATCTTTAATGTCGTGATGATAAGAGTGCGGAAATGGACCGAAGAATTTGTGCATTCGCTTTAAAGCTGTGAATTCGTAATCTTCGTGTCCCGGTTTGATCCCGTCGATTTGGGGTGTTGGAAAGGTGGTAGCCGCCGCCGTATATAAGGCTAAGCATCTGTGGTGGGTTAGCAAAGAGGAAGGGCGAGGAGGATAGGGACATTTCGCGGGATAGAGGTTCCGTACCGCGGAACCGAATGACCATATGTCTGTTGCGGTGTCCAAAATAGTTGGAGCGTAGCTTCTGGACTGCGGGTGAAGCCGGCGCCGATAAGGTGCCCTTCTATCGCGAACCTAGATTCTTGGGATACTGCCCCTCCACAATCGCCGAGCTGGACCTCGGAGAAGCGCTGGTTGCCCCGTCCGTAGTTGACGAATATGTTGTCGAGCTTAACATCTACGTGGGTCAGCAGACGCCGCCTGACAGGGCGAAAAGGAATCTTACCTGTGTGGACGATGCCGTCTTTGTGGAAGACATTCAGGGCTTCGAGAACACCCCGGGCTACTTACTTGATTTCAGGGCGCGACAGCCTCTTCTTGTTTGACTTGGTCAAGCAGTCGCTGTCCAGGTGTTGCAGAACGATGGAGGAAAGGTCGGCCGGCTCGACGATCTCGTCGACCAGAGGTCGTAGGAAGGGGATTTTTGGATTGGTAGCATTTGAGGATGTCGGCTTCGTTCTGCAGACGCCAGTGACCCTTGATGCTTTTGACGATGCCATCCTCGCCGCTCAGATTCCTACACCCGTGACGGTCAGCAAATGACTCGAGCAGGGAGACAAGACGAGGAACTTGCCTGGCGAGGCCAAGGTCGGGCGCAGCGCCATCGGCCGGCGGGGGTGGGTGCTGCAGGAGCGGCTGCTCGTGGCGCGCGACCAGCTCTACTGGGAGTGCCGCACCGAGGTGGCGGCCGAGCTCAGCTACCCGCGCGGGCCTGCCGCGGGCCCTGCGCGACACGGCCGCGGCGCGCGCCAAGCAGATGGACCCGCAGGCGCCCGCCCGCACCTCGGGCACCCAGTGCCTCGGCGACTGGGGCCACGGCCACCTCAACTACCCGGGCGAGGGCTGCGAAGCGGAGCACGCGCTCATCTGGAACGAGATCGTGCGCTCCTACTCCGAGGCCGGCCTGACGGTGCCCGGGGGACAAGCTGATCGCGCTCGCGGGCATCGCGAAGAGGCTCGTGCCGCAGGGGCAGCTCGAGCTGGCAGGCGCGCGCAGGCCGCTCTACGTTGCCGGCATGTGGGGGGTTCCGCCTCGAGGGGGAGCTGCTCTGGGCCCGTCGCCGCGGGCAGGCAGGCGGACGGGTCCTGGGCCGTCCGCCCGGCGGGGTACCGCGCGCCGAGCTTCGCCTGGGCGAGCGTCGACGGTCGACCCCATGGCGCCGCCGCACCTCGGCGGCCGGGACATGATGCACTTTGTGGTCGCCGAGGTCGGCCTGCGGCTCGCGTTGCCCTACGACGACATGGGCCTCGTGAGGGGGAGGCTACGTCGTGCTCCGGGGGTACGTCCGGTCGTTTGAGCTCATATGGGGTGGTGGCGACTGCAGCGGTGACGTAGTGGAGCCGCCGGTCATGGCGGTCGACGATGTGCCAGTACCGGGGGCCAAGGTGCTTCTCGACGAGCCGCTAGTGGACCTCAAGGGTGCGAGCAGGGCGGGGCTGTCGCGGTATGTGCTGGGGAACCGACCGGATCCGAAGCTGCCGCCGATGGTGCGATACCTGCTGCTGCTGCGGCTGGAAGGAGAGAAGCCCGGGACGTACCGCCGGGTTGGCGTTGCGGTTTCCAGCGTTTTGGAGACGACTGAGTGACAGCACGGCGAGATATGAGCTTGGCGCCGACGATGTGATGCCTATCCCGAGGGGCGACGGGGCTGGATGCAAGACTAACAGCGAGACTGGCAGCGAGACTGGTAGCGACACTGGTAGCGACACTGGCAACGAGATTTACAACGAGACTTATAACGGGACTAGCAACGGGACTGATGAAGAGGATGAAACACAACCGAGAATGTCAAAAACCGTGTGTTCGTGGGAGGAAATAGTATTCATCAGAGGCAACACTGGGACGCATAGGATTCGCGTCATTTAGCCAGCGATTTGAATTTTATTCTTCCAACCATGGGTTGGCTGCATTCATCTGTACACGTTAGCAAATGTCACTTGGATTCCATAAAAAGTACCAGCGGTGGGTGAACATGGTGTTTGGCGCAAAGAGATAGACACCGTGGCTGGATTCGACACCATTCCGCTCGCAAGAATGGAAACAAGACTCGGCAGGCGCGATACAATTCCATGCTGTGTGCTCCAGCCTGGGCTGACATATATCAACCTCCTCCCAACCAGCGGCTCAGGATCCTGTCACAACGACACAACACCCAAACCAAAGCGCCTGCAACCCCAACCAGCTGCCGGCCTATATTCACTTCATTTTTGTCGCTGCCTTCTGCAATCTACGGTACTTTCCCCGTCTTCCAGTCTTTTCCGCGGCCTCTTGCTTTCTCGTAACTAACAGCCGAGATTCACCGGACAGCCCTACGCGACTTCCAGATCCTGTCCCGAGACTATAACGTCAAGCTCTCCAACGAATTCTATATCGCCAAGGTAAGTTTCCCCATCGCCACGACGAATCCAAGCCTGCAAACTTACCGCTCTCCATCCCAGGTGATCATGGCCAGCAACAACGCCGCCGCCGCCGCTGCCGATGCTGCTCTAAAGGCCGCTGTCAATGCTGCTTGCGACGCCACCTGTGAGGCCGCGACCGCTTCCGCCGCTGCGGCCCAAGCGATTCATGACCTCGGCCCTACCGCCGTCGCCGGCACTGTTGCCGACTATGCTGCCGGGGCTGCTTCCTTCGCCGCCGAGGCCGCCTCCCAGGCTGCTCACGCCCTCTTCAATGCGCGCTCTACCAACTCTGCCATTTCTCTCGGCCATTTAGATCAAGCTCGAGATCTCGCCGGTCACGCCCAGGAGGCCGCCGATCACGCTATTGACGCTGCCCTCGATGCTGCCGCCAACGCTAGTGCTGCTAAGGCTGCTGCCGCCGGCCGCAGCTGAAACTAGCAGCGGTCGTCGACTGAGGGACTCTCAAGACGGAGGAAGAAGCCAAGCCTTGAGAGGGTGGACATTGGCAAAGGAGGCTGGACATGTTCAAGGGCTGAAGGAAGATGGCCATGGGCAAAAAGCCTCATTTCTCTATTATGCGTCATAGATAAGATATATCAAGAAAATGAAGGAGCAAGTCCATATCTCGAAACGAAAACGCCAGCAATGAGGTTGCGGTAGAGAAGGGACACTAAACCCATCAATGCATACTAGTATAACACCACAAATCCCAATAAACCATGAATCACGCCATCGCATGCAAACACCCACCTCACCCCCGTGCGATCAGCGGCTCCCTCTCCCCCGCCAGCCGCCTACCCCAGCGGTCGCCGAGGCGGTACGACCAGTGGGTCAGCATGCCGGCAGCAAAGCCAACAGCATCATTGCGGAAGGCCAGGATGCCCGCGGCGGTGATGAGCATAACCGCCCAGCGCTCCTCCCTCTCGGCCTCGGACAAGTCCCGGTGGCGCCTCGTCGCCAGGCGGCGGCGGCCCGCGGCGGCGGCAGCCACCACCACTGCCTCGACACCACCGGACGACCGCCCACCAGAACCGGCGCCGGCGGCCACGGCGTCCTCCCACAGGTCCGAGGCGCCGTGGTTGAGGCTGCGGCCGACGCCGGCGAGCTCGAGGCCGGTGGCGAGCACCATGACGCCGAGCAGGGCGCGCGGGAAGGCGGCCAGCAGGTCGAGCAGGGACTCGCCAAAGACGAGGCCGAGGGCCATCTTGAATAGGCCCAGTAGGACGACGCTGGCGCCCGAGCGGGCGCCAAAGGCGTGCTGGGCGGCCAGCCCGCCGGCGCCGTGGCACACGGGCATGGCGCCGGCCCAGCAGCCGGCCAGGTTCATGGCGGCGACGCTGACACCAAGCTCGGTGACGGTCGGGGTGGGCAGGTCCGGGAACAGGTCGGCGGCCAGGGCCGAGGCGGCCACGACCGAGTTGAGCGTCGTCAGCGGCAGCTGGCCCGCGGCCATGGACCAGGCCGGGTGGGCCGTCCAGTGTGGGAGCACGAGGGTTGGGACCCAGGGGGCAAAGGAGGGGAGGCGGCCGAGGCCGGGGGTCAGCACCACGGCGACGGTGGCGGAGGCGACGCCGACGACGAATACGGCGAGCGCAAAGGGCACGCGGCGCAGGTGGCGGCGCGTCAGGATGAAGAGCGCAAAGGCGGCCAGGGCCCAGACGCGGTTGTCCCACGGGCGCGGGCCCAGCCAGGGCAGGCGGACGGACCCGCCGGCCGAGACGACGAGGGAGAGCCCCGCGCCGAACTGGATGCCCTTGACGACGGGCACGGGCACGTGGCGGGTCAGGCGGCGCAGCAGGCCGGTGAGGGACAAGAACAAAACGGCGGCCGAGACGAGGGCGCCGGCGGCGACGGTGGTGCCAAGGCTGACGCCGTCGAGGATTGCGGCGGCCGCGATGGCCTTCATGGGCTGGACGGGCAGGGGGATGCCAAAGACGAGGCCGGTGGCGACGTTGAAGAAGCCCGAGAGCACGAGGGTGGAGGACAGCGAGACGGACCGCTGCAGGGCCAGGGCGATCATCAGCGGCAGCAGGGTGCCGAGGTCGCCGAGGGCGCCCGAGACCTCGGCCAGCGGGCGGCGGCGCAAGGTCCGGACGTTGTTGCGGTGAAGCTTAGGAATGTCCTTGAGGGCCATGGCGGGTGAGGCGAGGGGGGGCTCTGTCGTGGCTGTTGGCGGTGACTCGATCTCGGAGCAGGCCAGGGAGCTGCTCAACGTCTCTCTGTCTCTCTGCGCGTCGACAAATATCTCGGCCGTGTTGCGGGCGACGGTGAGGCTCGAGTCGAAATGAGCCGAAATGGAGCGCGCGTTTCGCGGCCCGCTCCGGGATCGACGTCATCTGACACGGCGACTGGACCAGCAAGGTCGCCACACTAAGCACAATCAATCCATGGCTGGTGTCTCAGCACGGTCGCTGTCTGGTCTACGTATGCGAGTGCGCGTAGCAACAGCGAATTGATTGCATTTCGGGCTTGGCCATTTCGTTGCATTTTCGCCGGAACCGGGAGCCAGGTCGGCGTTCCCGGTGGCTTAAAGCTGGGAATGAAGGCAGGCTGCCACCTGACTGGAAAATTCTTTTTGCCTGGCTTCGCTGTGGTTTACCTGCTCCGCCCGCCAAATGGCTACACCACCTTCTCGGCGCTTGCCCTCCTGATGGCTTTTGGCCCCGTGGGCAGAGAAAAAAAAAAATCGGAATTGGCATTCCATCGCTCTCCTCACCGCACACCCCTCCCCCTGCTCTCAAACCCTGGTCGGATCGAGCTGGGCAGAGCTTCTCCAACCCTTGCATGGCCCTAGCTCAATTGGATGCGCGCCAGTTTGCGGGGAAATCACGCTAAGCCTCGGGACGAGCAGAGAAAAAAAAAACTGCGATGACTCCATCAATGTGCTGGTCGACTGGGAGCACACCTTGACGGCCGTGGACGTGAATGGCCAGATCTTTTTGGCCGAATGCGGATGGAAGGTGGGAAGGTTCCAAATGCCAGATCTTGAGACGATCCCACACGAGTCGAGCACGAACCGTTCCTGTCGAGCGGCTGGTCTCACATGTGCCAAGCTCTGCTTCGAGCACGATGAGCAGGTGGTTTGGGTTCCTCCCTTGACGGGCCCTGAACAGTTCATGGTGCTTGTAGGCTTAGGCTGTCCATCCAGCCAACCGAAGCTCTTCCCCTTCCCACTCACTGCTCTGCGGCGTCAAAACAAAATGGCTGGCTGTGCTCTCCAGCGCCTCCCTCGCCTCAACACACCACAGGGATTTCCCGACGGGGCGTGTGCTGTGGTCGTTCTCGCTCGCATCTTGGTACCTGCAGCACCAACGCGCGCCTGTTGTCGTCGTCAGGTGTGTTCTTGGGTTGCAACCATGGCTCAGCCGGCCAACAGCCGACCTATGAGGTGGCGCCATTCGTCGCAACAAGGCAAAATGCGGACAGAAAAAAATTCCTGGCCGAGCGCCGTGAGCACCAAGCAACGTAAGGGGGGAGCGGGTAGGTGACAGGGGCCAGCAATCGATGGGGTAAGAATTACTAGAGAAAAACATGGGTTGGGCGGCGCTCGTGATGCGCTCCCCCAGACGCCATTTCGTAACAATATGGTAATTGGTGTCACGCGGTCGTCGCCTCCACTGCTTGTGTTCAATCGAGCCCTTTTTGCCCCCAGCGTGTCAGCTTGGCCGCTGCCCGGATGATGTGCGCTGCAAATTTTGCAGCGCCGCGTGCTGGACGCCATTTCCAGGGCTTTCGAGTCGAACAAGCGCTTGGATCGGCGCCCACCCCTTTGTTCTCTGTCTCACCCGCCCATGACGCCAACCTCCTAGCCCGATGGCGAGATCGCCTACCACCAGGAGTAGCATCTCCGGGCGTACGTGTCCCAGAATTAGTTTAGGTACCAAGAGTGCCTGGGCGTGGGGTATTTTGTGTAAATGGACAGGCGTGTGTTGTCGTCGCAAAGGCCGCCCTGACATTGAATTGGATGGGACTCCCATGGCTAGTTTAGGCTGGGTCTAGAACAGCTCACGCGGGTCGACAAAGCTGTTTCCGAGGAGCTCCCCCCTCGTCAACGCTCACTTACACCACCCACCCCTACCCTTGCCGCGTCTCACACCCTCCTCGCCCGTAGCCGTGTATGGGGCAGCTGGCTATAAGAAGCATCATCCCACGATTTCCCCTTCCCCAGGACAACCAGCCCTTGGCCACTGCGAGACAAACAGACATTTACTCTTCCATCCCAGCGAACCTCCTCTACAAAGCCAGACTACCACCACCTAGGCCCTCTCTCTATAATCACAGCCTCACAAAAAACCCACACTCCCACCATCCACAATGGCTTCCTACACCATCAACGAGCCGCACCCGACCGTTCCCCAGAACGCCTACGCCCACTCGGGCCGCGGCGGCGCCGGCAACACCTTCCGCGTGTCGGCCGCCACCAGCGTCCCGACCAGGACCACCACCAACACTACCACTTCCCCATCCTCCTCCGCCCGCTTCTACTCGGGCCGCGGCGGCGCCGGAAACGCCCACGAGGCGTCGGAGCGCGCCGCCATGTCCCTCGACGCCGAGTACGCCGTCGCCGCCGACGCCGCCCGCCACGCCTCGGCCTCGCGGGGCTACGTCGGCCGCGGCGGCGCCGGGAACGTCTTCTCGCCTGCTACTGCCGCCACCCCGGGTGCCGCCGCGGGTAGCGCCCGCCGCGACTCGGCCAGCACCGACGGGTCCGAGAAGAGCAGCTTCTGGGGCCGTCTGAGCGGGAGCTACCGCCGCTAAGCGCTTGGGCGATGATGAAGCGTCTCTTTTCATTCTTTCAGTACTGGGATTTCTTGCTTTTCTCATGCACGGCGTTCTCGGGCGTTTCCTCACGGGCCCATCCTGTCACCACCACCACCACCACCACCACCAACGACCATGGCACGTCCCTCTCCAAGGGCGGACCACCAACAACACGACTACGACTCAAAAATAAGGACCGAAAAAATAACGAAAATCGGGATATTAGGGCCTCAGAGCAAACAGGAAAAAAAAAGAAGAGCAAAAGGGAAAGTTCAAAAAACACATCCAGGGGGTCTTGGCTTACACATGTTTACAACGATACCCTCTCCTCACCCAAACCCCCCTGGCTGGCAGACTCCAGGAGGGGCTGCAGGTGGTGCAGTGATTTTTTTGCGCATACAAAACAGATAATCAGCATACGGCGTTTGTTTCTGGTGAGAGCGGTTGGGAGATACCCCCCAAAGCGAGAGACGGCGATGAGTTTTCCTTGTCTTTGTTTACTATTCAGATTTGTTCTTTAACTGTACATTTACACGCTGAAATACGCAATGACATCAGAATTGCAGTAAAGTGACACCCAACTCAAGCAGTCAACCGTGGGTATCATTCGTTCTCACGCTCGTGGTCAGTGTATAGTCCAAGGTTGCAAAACATGTCTTGAAGATACACGACAACCGGGCATCTACAAGCCAACAGACGCTGCCCACCAATTGGCGGAAGAGATGCAGCCCTGCCATCGCCAGACGCCTTGTTGATCCCGCTTCGCTCGCCGGCCCATTGATGCCAATCGCTTACCTCCCCCCACACCCGACCCAACCATGCCTGAAGTTTTGGTGTTTGACAAGTCCCTTAGTTGAACTTGGTGTGGATTATATCCGGGTTCTCGTGCCAGTCGTCGACGCTCACCCACATCTGATGGAGGCGTTGCAGTCAGCATAACAATCGCCATCTTCTCCACAGCTTGGACCAGGCCAGAGCTCACCTTTCTAAACGTGCTCAGGCCTGCTAGAATGCTGCCGCCGATCCAGGTCGAGTACTTGCGCTCGGGCGGGGCAAAGATCTTTATCCTCATGTCCCGCACCGCCAGCCTCTGCACCTCGGTCAGGAGTCGATCGCCAAAGCCCTTTGTCAGGGTGCTACCGCCCGAGAGCACAATGTTGGAGTAGAGGGCCTTGCGCAGGTCCAGGTCCGTCTTGCCGATGGCGTTGATCACCATCTGGTGCACGCCAGGGTACTCGAGCCCGATGATCTCGGGGTCGAACAGGATCTCGGGGGCGCGGAACCGTTCGGGGCCGATCTGGAGAAAAGGGTCAGTCTGACAAGCCAGCGACAGCATCTTTACTCGTGCACATGCAGCATCATATTATCCTCACCTCGAGCTTGTGCCCGTCGGGCAGCGTGTACTTGGCCGTCATCTTGGGGTCCAGCTTGGCGGCCGCGTACTCCTTCTCCTCCTTGCGCGGGTCATGGGCGACGTACGAGACCGACTCCTTGATCAGGCGCACCACCTCCTTCTCGGCGCTAGTGTGGAAGACGTAGCCGCTCTTGCGCAGCAGCGTCTGCAGGTGCTCCGTCACGTCGCGGCCGGCCACGTCGATGCGCTGGACGCTGTTGGCGATGGCGAAGCCCTCGTACACGGGTACGGCGTGCGACACACCGTCGCCCGAGTCCAGCACGATGCCCGTCGTCCGCCCGCTCGCGTACAGCGACAGTACCGCCTGTATCGATGTGTAGAGCGCCGGCACGTTGAAGGTCTCGAAGAGGATCTGGGCCGCCGTGTCGCGGTTGGCCCGGGGGTTTAATGGCGGTTCCGTGAGCAGGACGGGGTGCTATTTTTGGTCATGGCATTAGCAAAACGGCCGATGCTGTCGCAAGAACGACAGTCACCCCGGAGGATAGTCACCCCGGGGGACAGTCACCCCGAGGCAGACTAGAAACCCACCTCCTCGGGCGACGTCTTGAGGCCCTCCTGGTACACGTAGCCCCATATCTTCTCCATGTCGTCCCAGTCGGTGACTATGCCGTGCTCGAGCGGGTAGCGGATCTTGAGCAGGCCGCGCAGCTCCGTGGCGGCGCGCTCGCCGATGAAGACGTCCCCCTCGAGCGCGCCGGCCAGGACCTTTGTGTGCTTGGGACGGCCGACGAAGGAGGGGAAGTAGCACGTGGGCAGGTCCTCCCCCGCGAACCCCGCCCTGATCGTGCCTGAGCCGTTGTCGATGACGATCGACTGGTTGTGTAGTAGTTCCGCCATCCGGCCGGCGGCTCTGGCTTCTCCTGTCGGGGCTGCTTGCCGAGGGTGCTTGCCGTGGGTGGTGTCCTTGTCAGTTTGCTGCCGCGGCCTCTCTCGGGTTCCTTCTCCGGTCGGTCGCTATGCCGGGCTCATGAACAGCACGGGAAAAGCTCGACCCCATGCACAGGTGAGGGGTGTCGGTTGGCCCGTTCGCCTTCGCCAGAGACCAGCACCCTGGGGATCGCACGTGTCGGGGCGGCGGGTGGTGGCTGATTTCACGGGTTAGGGCCGTGTTGGGGCGACGCGGTGAGGCGGTCGGGGCGGACTGAACGAAGCTATTTGGTGGGGCGAGTCGACGGCGATGCGGTGTTGACTGACGGCGCGATAGCACAGGCACAGACAGGCCGTTTGCTGGGCTTGGGCCAAGGTGGGTGGCGCGATTGCCTGTCAGGTCAGGGAGTGTTGACGTGAATTCTTTTAGGGTAGTTCTTTCAGGGTAATTCTTTCAGGGTCAGCATAGACCGCAGCTCAAGACAGCTCGAGAACTCGACGCGGTCCCAACTCGGTCCCAACTCGTGCTCTGCCCGACAAATAGCCAGGGGACGTCCCTGACTAGTCCCAGTTGGGAAGCCACGCTCCCTGACGTCTTCAGCGCACGGCCATTTCTCCCACAAACACGAATTGACAGGGTCAAGATGTCGGGGATTCCCCATGTGCACGATTCGTGATCAGTAGTCTAGCTGTATTTATCGGTGGATACTCACCAGTGGATGCTGTATTTGTTTCTGTTTCTTTGCTCTTGCCTCCTCCCGCTTTTACGTCTATCTGAGCACATTACTCTAACCCTCTGCCAGAACCCCCCACTGAGCCTCCTCAACCGGAGCTCATATACGTCCTCTGCACCTTGATTCCTTGCAGCGGGATCTCGTCGCCGCTATCGTCGCTCCTCTCTGACTTGGCTCCGGCCTCGCCCTGGCTGGAAACGGTAAAGGCAAACCCGGTCACGTCGGGCCTGAGCGCCGCGTCGGACGGCTTCGTCGCCTGGTTGCCGCCCATGCCCGACGCCTTGTTCGCACCGTAGCCGACCTCGGCCTCGCTCTGCTCGTCCGGTAGCCGCTGGAAGGGTGACTTGAAGCTGGGGATGCGGCGGGCCTTGGGCGCCGAGGTGTTGCTGCCGCTGAACTCGTCTTCGTCGTCCTCGCCCGAAGTTGTCGCCAGTGTGTTGCTGGTCGTGTGCGACTTGTGGTCCAGGCGGCTGCCCGGGGCCGGCGTGCCGGTGCCCTTGGAGTAGGCGTCGTCCCTGCTGCCGCTGCCGTGCGTCCCGCGCGTCGCGCCCCGGAAGAAGCCTCCGAGACTGCCCGTGATGCCGATCGCGCGCGCCAGCAGCTGTATCACCGGCCGGAGTGTTGGCAGGCACGCCGAAACGATGCCGGCCGAGATCTCGATGGCGGTCCAGCCCACAGTCGGGGCCAGGGTGTAGCTGGGGTCGTTGTTGGAGTATGTGAAGAGCACGCTCGTGCGGTAGGCCGAGACAAAGACGACGCTAGGGAGTCCGTTGTTAGCCGCCAGCCATTTCCAAGTCGTCGAAAGGGGACTAGAACTTACAAGAAGCCAAGACCAAAGGCGAAAGTCAGGGCGATCTTCTCGGCCAGCCGCAGCTGCAACCGCCAGACCTGCGGCGCCGGCAGCAGCAGGATGACCATGTCGGTGAGGAGCGTCGACGCGGCGTTCGCGATCCATGTCCCGACCTGGTCGATACAGTGGCCTGGCAGATCCGGGTACCAGAGCTTCTCGACCGGCACGCAGATGAAGATGAACAGGAAGGAGATGCAGACCACCCAGGCCATGACAAAGGCCCCGACGGCCCAGGCGACCCTCTTGAAGAAGGGAACGTGGAAGATGCGGTAGTACATGAGCAGGAGCGACAGCTTGCTCCAGCCCAGGTTCCAGGCGTACAGGATCTCGGCCACGACGAGGTACTTGGCCATCATGACGATTCTGTCCACGCCAACCTTGTCCGCGTGGAGCCCCATCCCCTGAGAGTACATGGCGAATATGAAGCCGACGACGAGCAAGTTCCACACCTGCATATCGGGAACATGCGTCAGCGATTTTCGTCTCTCTTTCTCGCGGGCGTCTTTCATCCGGCTCGTCGACAGCAGGGTCGGGATAGGGGATGAGGACGCACCATGGAAAAGATGATCATGTAGTCGTCCCACCACAGCTTCTGGCCTTTGAGGTGTCGACTCCAGATCCTCAGCGCGACCGACACGGCGGCGAGGATGGTGACGGAGACGACAACTTGGACAGTCCACGGTTGGACATTCTGCTGATCGTATCCGGGGATTCCCGGGAGTACTGACGGCACATTGGGGTCGGGCGACAGCGCAGCCATGGTGCTTGGTCTGTCCGAGGCTGCTGACGGGTGACGGATGGCGTGTGGTCGATCTCGAGGACAAGCGCCCGGGGGTAGGAGAGACGTCCTGCTCGCTGGCTCGCCAGGAGTGCTTTTTGTGAGGCTCAGCAGCGTCGGTAGTCTGGCGACCCAACAGTTATCGGGCTAACCAGCACCGGAACCGAGTAGGAACTGGGCAGGAACTGGGTAGGAACACTTCAAGGTTTTTGTGTTTTTACACAGTACAGTCACCCCATGCCTCCTGCAGCGGGCCAGCCCCCAGCCGGCCCTTTTCCGCACCTTTTGTCGCCTTTTTGTGCCCGGCAGATGCCCTCCTTCCGCCGGGTCAAAACACGGCCTTCCGTAATGGGGTCGCGCTAGCTGCATTCATGGTGGTAGTCCCGGTGAGCCAGGGGCACCCAGACGAGATGGTGTGGGGAATGATTCTCTTGGCGGTGGTTGCCAGACGCGGTTGAGTGCTGTGCTGGGGTTTGGCTGTATAAGTCGCCACCGGTCGAAACCACGCACTGCGCTTCTCGACCGCCCTGAAGATGATCGTCTGTGGGGTAAGGACAACCGCGTGCTCCAGAAGCAAGATTCAGATCGGCCAGCCGCCCGCCACAAATGGTTGAGGGTGTCGGGGGCTAGGCCAATATGCAGGTCAAATATAGATGGACAGTAGCCGCATTAACCTCGGCCGCCATCACGTTTCGCCACCGTGCCCCTGTTCTTTTTCTTTTCCTGGTGGAGCGAAAATGTCGACAAGGGGCACGCCACAGTTGAATCAACCAACCTGACCGGGACTAGCAAAACGGGCACGACGCCCCCCTCGGCAAGAACTGTCGGTCAACCTGAATGTCGTTGCCCGCCTGTTTCTTTAGCCGCATAGACGACCATTTCACGAGTACGACTAACGATACCCAAAAGCCCCTAGTTCTAGCGGAGAAGTAAAAAATAAGAGAAGAAAAAAAGCAAGAACAAGATGGCAGCCAAGACCACAATCCAAGTGCCGCACCTCGGCGTCGCAGCCGGCTACCGCCTGTCGGGCGGCGCCGTGGACGCGTCCAAGCCGACCGTGGTGCTCGTCAACTCCATGTGCACCACGTCGTCGCTGTACGACCACCAGTTCGCCAACGCCGAGCTCACGGCGGCCGTCAACCTGCTGGCCGTCGAGCCGCTCGGCCACGGCGCCACCAGCTGCCCGTCGTCGGACGCCTTCACCTACTGGGACTCGGCCCTGGTGGCCCTGCAGGTCATGGACGGCCTCGGCGTGCAAAAGGCATTTGCTCTCGGCACCAGCCAGGGCGGCTGGATCGTCGCTCGTATGGCCCTCTTGGCCTCTGAGAGGGTGCGTGATCTTTTCGGCTCTCTTGGTTTCTATTCGTTCCCGTCTCTTCACACCCCCCGCCTCATTTTCTTCCCGTTCTTGTCCTGTGCCTAGGCTCCGTGTATCGTTCCACCGCATGGACGATCTGACTGTATCCCGCCCCCCCCCCCCCCCCCCCCCCCCCCCCCCCAAACTTCTCCCGCCCATCCATCCATCAAAAGTCCTGCCATCTCCCGGCCGGGCCTAAGGGGCTGGGCCGAAAAGACTGGGCGGGTTGCACGAGTGTGTTGTGCGTCGGCACAGCGACACCCTCTGTGCCTCTCTCATGCCGCGCATCCCCCAAGACACGCTAACGAGCGGACACCCCCGTAAAAAAAAAAAAATCCCCCGTCCGTCCGCGCGGGCCGAGGACGCCGGCACAAACGCCATTACCTGATGATGCAGTAATCAACGCTAACACCCCTTTCCCTTCTCCGTCCCTTTTGCCCATCCTTTCCCAAAATGTAGATACTCGGCATCCTTCCACTTGGCACGTCCATGGACTACGAGTCTGCGGCGTCGCGCGAGGGCGGCGCCTGGGACCCTAACGCCCAGCTGGCGGCCTTTTACGACGCCTGGAGCGCCGCCCCCGCCGCCGCCGCGGCGCCGACGACCGACTTTGTCGTCGACGACATCTGGTGCGGCATGGTCGGCAGCCTCGGCTTCTCGGGCACCGTCCCGCCCGAGACGCTCGAGTTCTGGACCAAGACGCTCAAGGCCGTCTACTGCGGCGACGAGGGCCGCCGCAAGCTCAAGGGCGCTCTCGCCAACCTGCTCTCGCGCGACGGGCTGCTGCTGAGGCTGCGGGACATCAAGTGCCCCGTGTACTGGCTCCAGGCAAGTTGCCTTTTTTTTTCCTTTTTTTTTTCCTTTTCTTTTTCCGTCTCTCCTTCCCTGCCAACATCTTTGTCCACGTCTTGCTTACTGGACGATACCTTTCCTCATAGGGTACCGAAGACCCGGTCTTTGGGGTCAAACTCCCTGCTGAGCAGATTAAACTTTTCGTCGCTTCGCCGGAGGCCACCCTGACCCTGGTCGAGGGCGGCGGCCATTATCTGAATGCCACAAGCCCCAAGGAGGTGAACGAGGCGGTCCTGAGGATGGTCAAGAAGTACGCCGCCTGAGATTGCAGAGGGTCTGCTACGGGGAGGGCGAGCTATAGCATGATTTGAATTGAAGTGTCCAAGTAAACTGCCAATACCTGGGCTTCACACTATGCTTACTGGTTTCAGCCCGTTGCTCTAGTCTTGCGAAACTCTATTCTTGCAAAACGGCCCAGCAAAACGGCCCAGGGTGATGCGGTCCGCCGTCAAATCTGCGGGCAACCGAGGATGACAACCAGACGTCAACGTTCCTTGACCACTGGAGCGCCTCCAGTTGGTGGTCCGAGATTTAGGGGGTCCATCTCGAGCTCCGCCCAGTGTCTGCGCCTCTTTTTTTTCGCAAGACTCTGACGGAAAAATAACATGAGACACTAGCGCTGCCCATTTCTTCGCCGGCCCACGTTGCATGCATTTTCTCCTGGGTCACTCCACAATGGTATAATACGACATACCATAAGGACGTCATAGATATCGATCGCCTCTCCTAAATGACTTGACTGCTTTGCCCCTGATTTCCCCCCGGTCGACCATTGGATTCTTTATTTACCAGCGGTGAAAGGGGTCCGCGTTCAACCCGCTCATGGGCAGGGCGCCCTCGGGGAAGACTCCCGCGGAGCGCTTGCCACCGCGCCCGCCGGGTAGCATGCACGTCGACGCACGCTCGTTGACCTTTCTCACAATATCCATCTGCGGCTCCATCTTGAGCTTCCGGAGCGCGACCGGGCCGCCGCCCTGGCCATCTGGACGGCGTCGAAGACGGCCAGGGGGCACCAGCACGATGCCCAAGACGGCCATGAGGTCCGTTGCCCTTTGTGTCGACGACGCCGTAGATGTCGAGCGCCGCCTGGCCCCGTGACGCCCCCAAGATGGACACGATGCGCCCGATGGCGGCCAGGGGCGCGAAGACGGCGGCGATCTCGCCCACGATGGGGACCAGCAGGAAGATGGCCGTGAGGAACAGCAGGATCGTGCTCTTGCGCTGCTCGGCCTCCTCGACGTCCATGGCGTCGGATATGCTCTGGATCGCGTTCACGGCCGTCTCCAGCGTGAAGACGAGGGGGGGGCGACGGCCTCGACGAGGTCCTGCGGGTCCCCCGGGTAAAGGCCGAGCTTGATCTGCTCGGCGGCTTCGGGGAGGTCTTGGACCAGGGCCTTGAGCTTGTCGTAGGCCTGCTTTACGAGGTCCTGGGGGTTGATGACGTCTTCCCTCTTGTACCCCTCCGGGACGGGGTAATGGTTGAGGTCCCAGCCCGACTTTTTGCACTCCTCCTCGCTCTCGTCGTGATCGCAAGTCCAAGCGCCTCCCGGCTTTTTAGCCTCCCCAAACTTGACGGCGTCGCGGGGGATGCCTGTGGCCTCGTAAAAGTCCCGCCAGAAGTCGTCCGCCATGGAGTCGGGCAGGTATCAGTAGACAGACTCGTTCGCCTCGGCGCCCGTCGGGTCCGACCACTTGGAGTAGTCGGGCGGGCGGCGGTCGGCGAGCTGGGTCCAGTCGTGGGTCAGAGGGCTCGGCTGAGGGCAGCTGGGGAACCTGACCGTGTTGCAGCTTGGCGGCTGCCAGCCGTGGCAGTGCCTGTCGTCGCAGTACTGACACTCGACCCGGCCCCCGGTCGGGCTCCTGGGATCGAGATACTCGTCCTCCCCGTTGAACGCCTGGAGGTCCGTGGCCCAGTCGATGGTCCCCGCAAACATCATATCCTTCCACAGCTGGCGGCGTGTGCCTTTGGTCGTGGGTGTCATGTATGCAACCCACTCGTCGCCGTTGTACACGGCCATGTCCGAGTTCGACGCACCGTCGTGCCACACCTGGACCTGCTGAGCTCCCGCCGAGGTCGAAGCTCCCATCATGATCTCGTCGATTTCGGCGTTTGAAATGTAGCCCGCAGTGTCGGTGCATCTCCCCGGAGCTGCCGGAGACTCGTTTTTGGTACCCAGATAGGGGCACATGGGACCGTCGCAACCTGGTTGTGCCAACTTGAAGCTGCGCCCGTAGCTCGACTCTCCAACGAAGATCTTGGTGGTCGAGACGCCGGCATTTGTGATCATGACGAGGGCCCGCGTCCTCTCTATAAGGTTGACGTGGCTCCTGACGCAGTTACCGGTCGGGCAACCATCTGTTGCCCACTGGTTCCCAGTGTCCCATTGTCCTGATCAACCGTCAGCTTTTTGACCTAGGCTGTGTATGGCTGCATGCCTACAGGGCTGGTTTGGATCAGAAGGGGGCCAGCAGAGTGCCATACCATGGAGGTCATATGTCATGTACACAATGTAGTCCAGCACGGCGGCCATGCGGCCGATCGGAAATGCCTTGAGATACCTGCGGAAAGGGGCAAGTCAGATGGGCCACGTTCAAGGAGCTCGTGAGTTGTCAGAAGAACCCACCAGTAGCTGGCCGGCGCAGCAATGGAAAGCGTCTGCTTGCCCGAGAGCTTGCTCTTCATGACGGTCAGGAACTTGAGGGTAGTCGGCCCCGTCTGAGTCAAACCCTTCGGGGGTGCCTGAGATGTCTCTGGCGCCGGGATACTCCCAATCAAAGTCCACGCCATCCAGCCCCTCGTCGTTGAGAAACTTGGCGACGTTGGTTGCAAAAACGTTCCGGTTCTGCATGGCCTCACGGAGTATGTTGTACGTCCCGGGGTTGTTTGAGTAACCCCAGCCGCCAAACGAGATGATCCTCTTGGCTCGGCCGAGGCCTTTCTTGAAGCTTTCCCACTAGGGCGAGATTCGGGTTAGCCTCGCTGTGCAGTCTGTGTGATCTGTAGGCATCTACTAACCTGGTGGTAAGGGTCAACAATCTTCACCGTGTGGTCGTCAATGTTGATCTCTGCAAACGTCCAGTGGATCTTGGTATAGGTGCCATCCGTGTTGGCATTGCGCACGCGCTGGTGAAGGCAAGGGCGGCCGTAGTTCCAGGCTTCGTAGTAGCCAATCCGCCCATAGCCGTTTGGGGCGTTTTTGTTGTTTTTAATCTCCATTCCGCAGCTGGAAACACACCTGTTCTGCAGGGCCGAGGTGCCTGGATTCCCGGAAGAGCTCTTCTCCTCGGTACAGAACTCGGCGCTGACGCCACACTGGCCCCGGACGTTACAGTAGGCGTTCAAGGGGCAGGGTTTGAGGTCTTTGAGTTCCGTGCCGTCTGTTGGCTTCTTCGTCCCGAGCATTGTTGGGCCACACACGGCATTGGATGCCTGGTAGGGAAGGGGGCGGTCGCCCTCGGAGAGACATATGTTGACGTTGGGGGGCGGCTTCTTGCGGCCGTACCAGCACCACTGTAGATCCAACAGGAGGGAGGCGGTCAGCTTGGGAACGAGGCGCCTAGGAGTGGGTGACGTACCGTGCCGCGGTTGAGCTTCTCTATGTCGCTCACTCTCAGCCCGTTTGCCGACGCGATGCCAGCGCACGTGTCGCCGTTGACGACCATGTATGTAGCACAAGTCCCGTCGGCACCCTTCTTGGGTCGTATGTCCGGCAGAGACCCGGAGCTGCAGCAGACCCGCTGCTTCGGCTGCAGCGTGTTGCAGAAAGACTCGCCGCCGTTGAACCCTACAAAGTCCGAGAGCGAGACGCCGCACTTGGACGCCAGCGCCCAGCAGCTATCGCCCGTCACAACCGTCTCAGTCTTACAGTCTGCCCGGCGGCCGAGGGCGGCGGGCAGGGCGGCCGAGATGGTGTTGTCACGGGTAGAGTTGGCAAAGGTCGCGTTCAAGCCTCCGAGAAAGACACCGAGGGGCACGAAGCCTCCCCCGTCCTCCCGCACGGTGAGCTCTGCAGGCTCCGCCCGGGCGCTGGAACGCAGGCACATGGCCTCGCTCCAGCCCTCGACCGCGGCCTGGATGGCATCTATGTCGCCGGCGGTGTCGACGGCGAGACCGGACACGTGGTCCACGTTGCGGCCGTATCCGCACAGCTGCAGCGCCACTGTCGAACCCGAGGCAGACTTGGCCTTGTCGATGAGAGGCTTCGACACGGCCGAGAGTGCGTCCGCGCCCCGCCCGAAGGATGCCCCGAGGTGGATGCCGGCGGCAACCCCGCGGTAATAGGCAAACATTATAGTCTCGCTGCATGATGCCTGGTCTTTGAAAAATCCAACGAGCTTTTCTATGACCGTGGCTGGGGCGTCTCGCCGCGTCTCATCCAGATCATGCTGCTTGCCGGCAACAGCCAGCTCGTAGGGGAGCTTGGACTCTTTTGCTTGTGCCCTGGAAGTGGTCTGCTCGCAGGTCATATCCACGCCAGCTTGACGCCTGAGGCTCCCCTTGGCCTTGTTGCGTTCACTCTTGGAGCTAGCAGGGCTGGCATCGACGCCAGTGCCGTTGAAAAGCGAGTTGACTTGGGTATTAGCATTATCTAGAGTGCAGGTGGGGATTTTGGTAGGAGTATCTGGTGAAGTGACTGGGTACGACAAGGCAAATGTGAGGAGGACAGGCTCGTCGCACTGTTTGAAGCGATCAAACGAAGTGTAGATGGTCCAGTTTGACGAGGGCCCGGTGCACGCCGTGGGGCATGGATGAAGATCCGCATAGTAGCTCTTGGTATCATTGACCTTGTCCAAGCGGTCCAGAAGCTCGTAGTCAACGTCGACGGCCTGGCCGAGGGACGGCAGAGCAAGGAGGAAGCTGAGGAAACCAAGAGAGCGAGCCAGGCCTTGCGACCTGGACAAAGGGATACATCTCATAGCTCCGAGGCGGTAGGACAATGCAAAGAAGGTGATGGAATATGCGGGTGTGCCGAGAGACTCTCCGTCCAAGAGTCGGGCGTTGGCGGCTGTCTTTTCCGTCAAAAGCACGTCAGGGCGCTGCCATACAGATCAGCGGATCGGATACAAAAAAGGAGGGAGGGAGAGAGGCCGGAGAAGCAAAAAGAGACACTGACACCAATACCTGTTTATCCAATACCCAACCTACCTTCCCTCGTGCGGCCAGCCGACTGCGGATGTACCTATCTAGATACCTGATACTGGCCCAGCTACGTGAGAACTACCCACGTACCAGGCGCGTACCTCTACACTGGCCGAGGCACGCCTGTCCATGCAGAACAGATACTGGGCCACTGCGGGGCATTGCGGCATTGCACCCTCCCCCGTCAGGCTTACAATCGGGCTGCTGAGACGGCCCGAACAAAAGGAGCCGCATGTCCGGCATTGCGCTTCATTGTGATCTAGTTTGGGTAGCTGCTGGTGGCCTCGATGCTTGGTGGTCTTGTTACTTGGCATATTGCCTTCGCATGGAGTCGTCGTTTGGCAATGATACGTTGAATGACTCTGCTCCGTCGTTCTCGGTGGGTAATAGGTGGATGCTCTCCGTGCGAAAATGGGCCCGAGATGTCGGTCTGTCGCCGTAATAGCATCAAGCGAGTCGATATTGCGACTTCCTCTTTCGCGAGCTTCACAGGGATCGGGCAGGCAGGCAACTCCAGAGCTCGTCCATCGCACCCCAAGACGTCAACTGTCGCTCACCGGGGCGGCTGAGATTGCTGGGCTGCTGTCCATCATCACATAGCACCCCTACCTGTCTATAAAAAAAGGGTTCTATGACCCGTCAAATCAGTATGCCGCTTCTTCCTTGGAGCACCACCCTCACAAGCACCACCCAGCCGCTTCAAGTAGAGTCTACCGTACCACAGACGAGATCTCGACAAGATGCATTCGGCTTCACTCTCGTTTTTTGCTTTGGGCGCTCTCTTGAGCATCCCGGCCCTCGCCGCGCCGCACCTCGCCGCACGCGATGGGGAGGTGCCCTCACTACCGTCCGACCCCAACACGCCCCCCGGGTGCACCTGGTGGCACGACAACGAAGATGGCAGCATCCCATGCTCCCAGATTCCGGCCTTCTACGGCGTCCCCCTAAAGGACTTTCTATACTAGGTACGTGTTTTGCCGCCTCCAACCGAACACCCCGCTAACTTCGGAAAATCAGAACCCGTCCGTCACGTCCTCATGCGAGAACTTCCTCAAGGGGAAGGCGTACTGTGTCGAGGGTCCTCCCGCCCCGGCGGCTCCCCCTTCAGGGCCGTCCTCTACCACCGCCTCGGCGCCAACCCCTACCAAGACCGGGAACGGCGTCACCACGCCCACGCCTACTCAGCCTGGGATGGTGGACAACTGCAAGGCCTTCTACCTCGTCAGCAAGGGGGAGGCCTGCGGGTCCGTCATCCGCAAGAACAACATCAAGCTCTCCCAGCTCGTGGCCTGGAACCCTTCTGTCAACCCCGACTGCAGCGGCATGTGGGCCGACGTGCACGTCTGCGCCGCCACCCTCGACGGCGGGGCGGACAGCAGCCCCGGCCAGACGACGCCCGGGCAGCAGCCGACGCCCCCCTCGCAGGGCAACGGCGTCCAGACCCCGTCGCCGGTGCAGGACGGCATGACGGCGCGCTGCAAGACGTTCCACTTTGTGCGCCAGGGAGAGTCCTACTGGGGAATTTCGAACCAGTACGGTATAAGCGTGGAGGACTTTGTCCGATGGAACCCGGCCGCCCGCTCCGACTGCAGCGGTCTCTGGGCCGACACGTATGCATGCGTAGCACTCCTGTAAATCACCAGCTACCTTGCATACATGGATCCTGTTCCAGACGAGGCTTGGGGGTGTGCTCAGGGTCTGTTGGTTGTCGTTGGACAAGCTTTATTTGAGCCTCAATTGCACCCCTGACCCTGGCGGCCGCGGCTCCATCTATCCTTTTAGCGCAGCTGACGCTGGGTGACTAACATGTGGGTCACTATACTGGCACACAGTAGGTGTACATACTGCAGGCACGCTAGTCAAGCTTTACTTGGCGAGTTTCTCTCCTTTTCTTCTCCCTTGCAGGGTTGAAACTACCCCGAATGATACCATCCAGTTTCTTTGGGCCCGACGAGCTAAAGTCAGCCACCCCTAGTCGCTGCCAGCCTCACGACGTTCCTTGAGCACACTTGGAGATGTGGGATGTAAAACATGCCCCGGAGCTCAAGACCAAAAGTGCTTGGTGTAATTTCCCGGGTCCATACCTGCCAGGTATACCTGCTAGGACTCCATATAATCCGAGGCCCGGTTCGTCGATATGGCCCCCGCCAGTCCCCTGCTGGCATCAGTGGTTGCTATGTATCCGGTAGGTGGTAGTTGCCTACCGGGTATCTATGGGGTACGCAAGGCCACCAGGTTTGAGCGGCCGGACTTGCCTGTGTCCGGACTCGCTGCCGCTTTTGGGCGTCAGTCACCTGCGGAAGCCTGTCTGATATGGGGACTGGCTCTACTTCGGACATGACACGGCCCCTTGGGTCCAGAAATGTGCCACCGGCCACCTTATTCCCTGGCCGGATGAGGAAGCTCTACACGAAGCCGCACGCTTGGCACAGCGATACCGCCCGAGCTGGCATGATCTGGACGGGGCCGGCTCAGGCGGCATCCCACGATGAGCTCGTGGTCGGCCGCAGGGCCACCAGCCTCCCTGCCGAGATTGGCTTCATGGCACTCGTGCAAGACTGGTCTGCTACGCTGGCCGTAGCCCCGTCGTTTGCGTATAGGTAGCCCCCAGTAGCCCCCCCATATTCGACATCCAACGCCGGGTGGCTGTCTCTGTGGTCGTCGCAACTCGGCATAAAGGAAAGAGCGTCGGGATACGACACTCCTGACGGCCGTCCCGCCCGGTTGTGGCCTGCTGACCTGGCTCTCCTGTTAGCCGTCCCTTCTTTCTACCCACTCATGTGTGCGCACATCCTTGCCACTCACCATCCTAACCGCCCATCTTCCTTCCATTTCCCACTCCCTTCCCCGCGGCCATGAAAGGCCCTATAACCGCGGCGGTCCTCTGGCTGCACCTGCACTTCAGCCAGTCAGCGTGGGCATACGGCCCCCGCGGGGCGGCCGAGAGGGCCTTCTACTACAGCGTTTACCTGATGGAAGAAATCCGCGGCTTCCAGGGGCTCGGGGGCGAGTACAGGCTCGCGTCTGGCTGCGTGAGGACGCGCGTGGGCCTCGCAGGGCAGCTCAAGCGCTGCAACCTCGCGGAATTTCTCGACCACATCTAGAGAGCGACGCCGACGAAGACCGCGGCCGGCACCGCCGTTTTGGACACCAAACCGGACATGAGCAAGATACAGTGGCCCACGGGCAAGGGCCCTGCCAAAACAGGCAGCGTCACCACTGTTGCAGCCATCTACAAGCACGTCATGAAGGCAAAGATCAGCGGCGCCCACATCACAAACGGCGGGGCGTGGGGATACCAGGGCAACGTTGACGAGAGAGCGAAGCTGTGGTCCCTTGACGCCTAGGCCAGCACTGCGGGACCGGACGACTTCTACTCATCCCTCGAGAAGACTGGGCAGCTTGGGGCGCAGCTGGCCAATGATTGGGAAGACGCCATAGCGAAGGGCGTCATCACACCCGAGAACAAAGACCACATCAAGGCGGACGGCACATTCGCCAAGCTTACCGACGGGGCGAGAGCAGCATCTGCGGCCGTGGTCGACCTCCGCATAATCGACTCGTGGCGTCACCAGAAGGCGGGATTTGCCGACGGCGTCGGGGTCGAGCCAGCCCTCATCCCTCGCGAGGAAGGACGTCGCGTGTGGACTTTCGACAGGCCGCGAGACCCGAGATGGCCCGTCGACTCAAACCCGGCCGAGCTCTGGAACAGCGAAAAGGTCGCCAAGGCGTTCAACTACCAAGCAAAGGATTTGATGATGATCGACGGGCGAGCAACTCCCGTGGTGATTCAGATCGAGCTGGGAGTCACCGCCCAGGAAGCCGTCAAGATATTCAAGGACCGCTGGGAGACTATCAAGAAATCCCAGAGAATATGGCACATGAAGCGGCGATACAGAGCGCAAGAAGGCCGCGACATGCATGATCACCGCCCTACCAGCTAAACCCAAATGATCTAAATCCGTTGCTGTTGTGTCTTTTCGGCCATACGCTGTTGCATGTAAATCAGACAGATACCAGGTCTAGCTCCAAAGATGACGCGCTCGCATCAACCAAGGCACCATCGCGCGTCTACCTAGGATGAATTGGTGGTGTGGAGACGATTATGCCGTTGGCGCCAGTATCATTGATACATCCTGGCAGGCCCACTCAGCCCCAAGTTCCCCAGCCCTTGTGCGTTCCCCGCGTAGTGGAGATAATATGCTTATATAGCGCCCATGTAACTCACTGTTGCTCCCTCTTTTCCTTTGCCTCTTTTTTTCTGGTCTTACCCAGCTAGCCCGAAAGCCTTCACCACCCAGTCATCAAACATTGAACCATGCCTAGCTCTTTAGATAGACAAGCGCCGCCACGGCTAGCCACACTCCCGCCAGAGCTGCTGGATCAGGTCTTGGGAGCCTTGGTCTGCTCCGACATTTCACGCCTCTCACGGACCTGTTGGGACTTTTATACCCTTCTTCTCCCGAGGCTTCTGGGTGATCCGGAAAACAACAGCAAGGCCGTCCGATGGGCTTGCCACGCGGGTGTCAACAGCCTGATCGACAAAGCCGTAAATTACGGCTCGCTCGTCAGCTCGGTTGCCATAGGACGCGCCAACGTCCGGGTCCTCACCCTGGCCCTCGCGGCGAGGAGCGGGCAGGTCGGCACCTTCCAGCACCTGATCGAGCTCGGCGCCCAGGTGGACTGCCCCGGGGTCGACCACTCCGCCGTCCGCACCCTGGTTCTATCGCTAGCCAGGTCGCCTTCCCCGGACCTGCTCCGCATCTTCCTCGAGGCCAGCCCGTCGCTCGTCTCGCAGCTGCACAACCATCAGCGCACCGAGCTGCTTTTCCACGCCGTCGACGCCGCCAGCCGGAAAAGGGACGCCTGGGACGTCTCGTCCTGCCTGGAGATGGCCAGAAGGCTTATAGTCGCCGGCGCCGACCCCAACCCTAGCCCAATCTTGATGCGCTATCCAATCCACAGCCACCACGTCTTCCTGCCAACGCTTTCGGTAGCCATACGATCGCGCTCACCCGAGCTCGTGCGCCTCTTGCTGGAAAATGGCGCCCGCGTGGACTCACAGCTGGAAACCCTCTTTACCATCACGTACAGGCTCCGCAAACAGCCGTCGCCAGCAGAGCAATACCCCGAAGGTGTTGCAAGCTTCTCGCCCATTTGCGCAGTCGCATATTGGCTCGCCGAAACCCTTTCCGCCACCGAGCCATCGGTGCGCGCCCAGGACTTCCAACACCTGGCCGAGATTGGCCGTCTGTGCCTCGAGCGTGGGGCCGCAGTCAACGACAGCGTGGCGATCCAAAGAGGACGGCTCCGGTGCCTGCGAACGCCGATGATGCTCTACGTGGCCATGGTCAAGGATTGGGGGCCACCCGGCGAAGAGCCAGAGTCGGACGCCATGCAGAGGTTACGATACCTGCTTGGGATCGGCGGGGCCGGCCTGCCCGACACGCCGCGCACCCCGAGGTACGCAGTCAAGATGCGCGAGGGCCAGACTAAACCGACGGTTCGTGGGCACCACGCCTACTGGCATAGCTGGCGTACTAGGCAGCAGCTTTGGATGTCGCCTGCGCATCTCCTCATGCAGGTGTGGTCTCCCCTCGCCTCCGAGCTCCCCGCGCTTGTGCGGCCTCTCAAGCTTCTCATGTCAAAGAATGGCCCACATGTGACCTCACACCTCGGGCCGCCGCACGACCAATACGGCCCCTCGGCGGCCGAGCTTCTGGCCCTCTATATGTATATTCCTAAGTCTACAGAGCAGCCTGGCGGCATGGGGGACCATACCGATCCCGTCATGTCCGCCTGGGAATCCATCCTGGCCAGCGCAATCCAACGCCTGGAGCCCGCGGAACTCAACCGCCTTCTCAAGGACTACATCTGGTTAAAGCTGACCTGCGCCTATCACTACCACGGAACAAGCCTAGAGTGTTGCCAGGGCCCTCCATCAACCACCTACTGTGGCAGCCAATGCTGCATTGTGGCAACCTTGGCCGACGACAGACTCACGCGCCCGACCATACGGCAGCTCATCGCCGCCGGGGCCAACGTGGACCACAAGATCAGCAGCGCCGAGCCCACCCCACTGCAGAACTTTGGCCTCTGGCTCACCCACCCCCACCACCACCGCCACGAGCACCAGCACGTGCGCATGCCCGGCGTCCAGTGGGGCCACCCCCGCATGGGCGCCATCGGCCTGACCGAGGAGCGGGCGCGGCTGCTGCGCTACCTGATCAACGAGTGCGGTGCCGACCCCACGATCCCCCACAACGGCCAGACAATGGCCGAGATGCTGCGCCAAAGACTCGAGAAGGCCCGGCAGGACATCGACCAAGCGTCCGCCCTCTACGAACGCCTGGTCTTGTTTGACTTTGGCCGGCCTGGCGGCTACTCTGAGGATATGCGGAGGAGGGTTATATGGGAAGAGGAGGAGGAGGAGGAGGAGGAGGAGAAAGAGGAAGAAGTGCTCGAGACTGGGCTCAGCCAGGATGACCTAAGTGCAGTGGCTGGACTACGTCTTGGTGATTGAGACCATCTGAAGAAGCATTAGCGAGCGCAAATATTCAAGATCGAATATAGAATAGAACAAGACCAAAACTGTACCATTCGGCCAAGGCCGAGTGAATGTGCCTAAGGAGCGACCTCCCATCCCCCCCCCCACCGGATCGTGCTCCAAACGCCGTCCCGACTTTCGCAATTCATGGGTTTTAAAATTACTAATACGGTAAAACAGTCCTTTTTGAAAAGAGGAAGGGGAAGGGGACAGGGAAAGGTAAAAGGATGAAGGGGGAACTAGAAACGAGAAAAGGCCCTTGGTATCCAGCCGATGAGGCGAGGGTTATCAGCTTTTCCCTTAGTGGCAGTTCCATTATGAACAGAAAATTACATCAAGCTTGCTTTGATTCGATGAGATAAAAACGCCTAAAGAAAAACCCATGAATAGCCAGTTTTCTTCCAGATACCTTGCTCCAAGACTTGTTCCCCGAAATACATCCAAAATAATCCCGCGAAACCCGAACACCCGTGCCAGCGCTAACAATTCCTATACATAGCTCCAAATAACCACGTAAACGCTTATAGCAATCGTGACGACGCCCTCCCACTCCCAACGATCGATATTCCTATATCATGCGCCGTTGCTCAGTGCACTCCGCATCTTTCCCCAGCCAACAGATAAGATCTTCACAAGCCTGATGGTCGTCCTCGGCAGCAGGAACACCCGCGGTCGGCTCGCCGAACAAGTCCCCGACGCCGAGTGTGTCGCGGGCCACGGCCCTTTCCCGGTCCTCCCCGTCCCTGACCGGGGGATCCGCCAGGTCTTCGGGCCAATCGGCCGCCTCACTGCCCTCGCGCGGGCTGTCTGGGTAGCTGGCCGCCATTGAGGACCCGGGGGTGGCGGTACTGAGTAACGTGATCGCCATGGTCGAGTCGACGATGCGCTGCCATCCTTGCTCGCCGTACTGCTCCCGGGCCCACGCAAATTCCTGCTCGGCCTTGGCACGATGGTTCAGATGTTTTTCATCGTAGACTACGGCATGTTTCGTAAGTTATCGGCACTTCAAGAGAGCGATCGGCTTACAAGGGGTGGGTTAGACAGGGCCATGCTTACACATTGCTGGCGGGTAAACCAAGCTTTCAGGGAAGATGAGCTCGTAGATTTTTTCCCACAGGCACCTATCCTTCTCCTCGCGGGTCATGCCCTGGTGGCCTGGAGGGTGCGTGCGATCCTTGATCATTTCTTTCAAATGCTCCCCGAAGCCTTCGATCTCCGGTATGCGCCGGACACATGTCTGAACAGTGGCATAATGATCTTCAAGCGCTTTCTGGGACTGGAATGCTTTACAGCCGCGCCAGCAGAGGAACTCGTGGTGACTGTAAAGATGTGCTCTTTTGAAAGGATGAAACCTTAGCATCTGCCTTGACCAGGATCCGGCGAGAATGGGGGGGGGGGGGACAAGGAAAGCGAGGGTGGTCCCGACTTACTTGAGCTCAGGCAAAGTGAACCCACGTCCAGCGCATTCCAAGACCCGATGATACTCGAATGGCTTGCGCGCGTAGAAGGGGCAGAGCAGTAGCCGCTGGATGGCCACATTGGCGAAGCGGCGCAAGGCGTTTGCGTCCATTGATAGCTGCGCCTCTTCTTTGCCGTCTTCCGAGGATGTGGTTGTGGGAGGTTGCCTCTTTAAGGCAAAGAAGGCGACTCTCTGGCCGGGTCTCGAGAGCTATGTTTGTCTAATGGAGAAGGCAAACGGGTGGAAGGCGAACAGGCTATGGAAATATATGTGCAGACATTTTACGAGCGGAACGCCCCCCCGTGGGCTCGTGGGTAGTTGCGCACGATTTGATCCATTTGATGCAGTTTCTAGCGTGAAACCTAAAACTTTTGATCCCGTTCAGGAAAAACAATGACCGCAAATAGGTAGCCAGGGAGCCTGCAGGGAACCTGAAGGTGCCCAGCTCCCGTTTGATTTGACATACGCTCCTCCACATCGAGGCGGACCGCACCCCAGAGAACTTATAGGTACCTCCTACGTTGTATGCCTGACCCAACCACCCAGTGAATGGACATTATGGATTCAGGCCAGATGAACCAGGCTTGCCATTGGAAACGAGCCCGGGTATCGATATGTGGACGCAAGCCGACACCAGCCGATGCGCAGCGTCCGGCTTGCCCGTCTGATGTGCCCAAGCCAACGCACCTAGGTCCCAGTTGGATGAGGGCTACAGACGACTCGGGATGGCGCGCCAGCGGGTGACGCCCACCAAGGGGCCACCCGAGGCAACCATAGGCTAGTTTCGTTGCAAGCTAGAGGGTGACAGCCGGGGGTGAGCCTACATGACCAGACCCACTTTTACTTATACAGTTTCTTATTCTGTGTGTGTTACTGTGTGCCAACCGTAGAAAGACGGCACTGCGCCCAGTGCGGAGCACAGACCAGACGTCCGTGGAACCCCCTGGAGCTAAGAAACGTCATTCCTACCGTTGGGCTTCCCCTCAGCCCGTCTTGTCGCTGCAACCTTCAATTCCCACCAGCATCACGCGACCGAAAACCGAAAGGCGCCAATCATCAAGTCACCCAAGACGATCGTTCAACCCGCACCGACGGTTCATACGATCCGCGACCGAAACAGAAACCAGCAGCAGCCTCGCCAAACACTTGGCAACATAAAAAACCACACGCAACCATGGGCCGCCGCTCGTACTACGACACGGACGAGGAGCGCCTGCCCGAGGGCATGACGAGGATCGGCTACGACGCCGACACCGAGACCTACACCTTCCGCGACGCCGACGGCAGCATCTGGGAGTCGGCCCCGGGCAGCCGCTACGGCAACCTGACCAAGATCTCGGAGGGCTCGGCCTCGGCGCGACGCGCCGAGCCGCCCACCACCGGCCGCGGCAAGGGCGGCAGCGACGGCCAGCGTGCCTACAACGACGACGAAGATGATGACGACGACCACGGCGAGGACGACCACGCCCCCTTCCTGGCCCCGCCGGCCTACAGCGCGTCGGCCGCGGCCGCGACGCTGTCGACGCGCGGCGGCAGCGACGACGCCCTGCCCATGCCGTCTGCGGCCGAGGCGCGGTACCGGGACTGGCGCAAGCGGTCGTGGCGCGCCGACCTGATGCCGCTGCTGCAGTTCTTCCTCATCAGCTCGCTCTTCCTCGTCGGCATCTTCTGGATGGTCGGCGGCTTCTCGGGCGGGTCGTCGTCATCACCACCGTCCGAAAACCCCGAGCCCCAGATGCCGCCGCGCCCGTCGACCAAGCCCGCGGCCCCGGCCGGCTGCCCCGACGGCTGGGCCACGAGCGTCGTGTACAGGGGCCAGACGTGCTACATGATCGCAAAGATGCACAACATCGACCTCGACGAGCTGCTGAGCGTCAACAAGGGCGTCAACTGCGACCTGCTCCAGGTCGGCGAAATGATCTGCGTGCCCAAGGCCGAATGAGGTCGCCGCCGCTTCCGGCCTACTTTGCGGCAACTTGCTTGCTGTATTTTATCAATGACATCTCGCCGTCTGCACTTTTGGGCACTCCGAATCGCCCGACAATTCTTGGCATTTTAAATGATATGTCGAGGCGCTTGGGCCTCCTCGCTTTCCTTCGTCGCAAGGTTGTCGTCTCTTGTATTGAGTTTCTTGCCTCCCTTTCCTTGTGTTTTGTGGTCTCTCTTTTGTTTAATCAATATATCGAAGGACAGGTACATGAAGCTCCTCGGCAGTCGACTGTGTCCGCCCACTGTGCTAGACGGGGGTATAAGATGGCCCACGCCCTTGCCTCAACAACGATTGTGCAGGCAAGATTGAACTGCCAGGCGCTTCACTTTTCTTTTGTATTGGGTATTGGGATGAGTATATCACATTTGGTCACCACTCTCTTAGGATGGAGCAAAAACAATGTTTTATGGTAATCTCGATGGCAACAGTCCTCTCACTTTCAGAATATGAGGCTCAACTGAGCCATGCCATTTGATGTCGCCTTGGACTTTACCCCCTGCATTTAAGTTCGTGGAACGCTAGGGAAAGCCCAGAGCAAAATCACTGCCGTCAAGGAACCGACAAGGCAAGCACAGGTATAGACAAAGTAGATTCGATTTATGTAACCAGTAGAGGTCACGAGGTTCGGCGGCACAAACAATGACCGGCCGCGATGAAAACGCCCAAATGCCAGCCCACCCAGATAACTCCAAGCGCCTCGAATATGTACAGGACCCCATGATGCAAAGTTTCCTTGAAAGCCAAAGAAGATGTGCTCTATGGTACCAAAGTTTCGTGATTATATCCCCCAGTCGGCAATGTCGAGAAGTGTAGATGCAGTCGGTTTCGTGGTTGCGGTGTGCTCCTTCGTCTCACTGGATGTGACCGTCAAGAGCCTTCTGGACCATCCAGGGCCAGCCGAGGATCAGGGCCATGCCGGGGAAGTAGCTGTTGAGAAGGACATGTTAGCAAACGAAGCCAAAGCAAGAAAAGTCGGAGAAGGTCTGGACAGGCCGGCCACATACATTCCCAGGGTCTTTCCCCTGCGGGCAAAGGTCTTGGCCCAGTCGGCCGGCTGCGCCTTCTCGGCGATGGGCAGCCTCTGGAAGGGGTGCGGCTCAAAGGAGCGCATGGTGGTGCGCATGGCCGTCATCAGGGAGAACTGGCGGCGCTGGGCGGCGTTGCGGAGGGCGACACGGGCGACGATGGGAGACATGATGTTTGTTTTGTATGGATGTGTTCCAAAAAAGGGGAAGAGACGGAGTGGCGTGTGTTGTAGTCGTGTGACGGAGTGGAAAGGTTGGCCGGTGTACAAGTCGGTTCGTGTAAGACGACTGAGCGGTGATGTTCCTAAAAGGGACTAATGGGAGATGTTGTGCAATGTTGGATGGTGATGCAGGACAGGAGAGCTGATGACCAGGAAGACGTGCAGTGCAACCCTCTTATATCTGCCGGGCACGCACCCCCAATCCAGGCCCTCCAGCTGTGCCATATTCCGGGAAAACCCCTTGCCTTCCTACGAGCGGCGGGTTCCCGAGAGCATGGCACGCCCTCATGGCACCATGGCTGGCTGGAGATGGCCGACTACAGGGGGGGTCCAACCTAACATGGCACGTCAAAAAAAACGCGTGCAGATGACAGCTCCAGGCGGGCTGTGGAGAAAGGCATGGCATGGGACGAACAGCAAATCCCGGTTCGGCGAAAAGGCAAATGGCAGGCGGATGGGCATCAAGATTTTCCCTTTGGGGTGTAGACATGGTGCCATACGAATCCCAAATGGGCGACTATTGGCCGCCCAAAAGCGGAAGTTGGCAGCTCGCCCCGTAGAAGGCTGAGCATGTGGGTGGGACGATTCGACGGCTTTTGACCGTCACGGTCGTCCCATGCCGTCGAGCTTGAGCTGTCAGATGGGCTGATCGGGCCCCGTCGCCGTTGGGTGGTTTCTGGGGGTTTCTGGTTGGAGCCAATCACAGTGGGCCAAGACCTTGAATTTCTAGCCAATCATGGGCGACAGATGCTTCCTTCCGAAGTCGAACCACCTGGACCAAGCCTTCGCGGCCAAGGTTGTGTGGACCGCGGTCCATCAGCCCATTGAGGCTGGCCCAGGCAAATGGAAAAGACAAAGCCAGATCCCCTTCGGCCAAACGCCGCGAACCGCAGCCGCACAATCTCGGCCTTCCCCGCAAAACAAAAAAGCAATGTCGGATGAGCTGACCGAAAAAAGAAACGTGAAGAGAAATATTATGCATGGCATAACCAGCATTGGACCCTTCCATCAACAAGCAATCAACGATTCATCATCCCCCGGCGAGCCGGCCCCACCAACCTCCTCCCCCCGACCCGGGCTGGACCTGAACTGGCCGTGATAGTCGTCAGGTCTCCCGGCAACCCCCGACCGAAACAAAAACTCGATAAAGGCCCGGACTGGGCTCTCTGTGATTCATCATCCCCTTTCCTTCGCCACAACGCACGCACGCCCCGTCGCTACGCCAACTTTAGCTCGTGCTCGCGGTAGGTGATGTAGTCATTGTTGGTGTTTTCCTTTTGCACCGTGTACGTGTCGCCATCGACAGACTTGACGATGAAAACGTAGGGGATGCTGGAGTTATCGCCTGTGTTTTTGACGCGATCGCCGACATTGAAGGGCTGTCCGCGGCAGGTTTT